TTATTGACCTAGGTTCTCAAGTATCCTGTATTAGCCACGCTTGTAAGCAACGTTAAAATGTTCCAAATGCGGTACCCGTCGGGTTGAACACTGCTTTTCCCAATCCGAGAGGTAACCAAGTGTGAGTCACTTATCAGGACCCACTCACTAGAATGGACATCCCACAACCACCCCGATATTTATTGTTTTCCCATTGGGCTGACTCGCTTCCGAAAACCGGCTAAACGAACTGTGACTGAAATAAACCAAGAGGAAACACGAGTCCTTGCGATCTATTGGAAATTGTATTTTATGTTATACATTTACGCAGTTTTCAGCGATTTTCCTTTTTTTCCTATTTTATTTGAAATATATTGCATATATAAACATAATTTTGTATTAAAAACCGATCAAAATAAAATTTAGTTTCATCGGAGAATATAACCCTTTTATGAAAACTATGAAACTATAATTATTGATTTCAAAGGTTAACAAATATGAACATTTAGATTTTTTATGTCTTTAAATTCGTTGATTTTTGGCATCCATTTAAGTATAAAATCATGAATAATTCTCAATTCTTTTCTGAAACGGTGGATTTTTGTTTAAATGAAAGGTTTAAAATTGTACCACTCTAAATTATGGCTTGTTTATTTGAATTTTTTACCACTTGAAACATAACTCTACGAGTTGCGTTTTATAATACATAATTAATACATTATTGGGATATTTTAATCAGTTAGCACAGTTGCGTTGAGTCACTTTTCAAGTTATACAAATATAAACCAAAATTAAGTGGATTGTTATTTAGATAACTAATCAAACAACTTCCTAAATGATCTTAGTTTTTTCTTAAGCACCAAATAAATCTTTGCTAAAATGTAACAGCTGATAAAACGTTATTAAATTATAAAACACTTAGCCTATTACTTTCCATTAAAACACCGGCGACATTAGACGAACCAGGATATTCTAAAAGAATTGTCTTAGAACATTTACGCGTGTCTATATGGTTTAATAAATTTGAACATTAAATTCATAAAAAATAACGTATAGAAAAAATACATCTAACATGAATGATTAATTTATATGAAATATTTATATTGGCATATTTCACCGTGTGGTTTCCTGGGTTATGTACAAGTAATTTGGTCATGTTGCATGTATTTTGAACATGCGAAAAACAGTTCAAACAGCAAAAAAAAAAACTAACTTTCTATTCTCAAATGGCCAATATGTGTTTAAACAACTCATACCAATGAATCCGAATCCACAATGTTATAACATATAAGATAGTGCCAAAATTCGCAAAGAAAACCTATAAAACCAGTCATCTCTCATAATAATTATATATATNTTATTATTATTATTATTAGCCATACAAGCCTACGGGGAATTTTAAATTATGGAACAAAATTCACAATTCTCATCAAAAAAAGAAACAGAAATAAATTTTATAATTTTATTAAATTTTATGCAATTTAAAATCGGAATTTTGTATGCATTTGGCCTTCCGAATTAAGAATTTTAAAAAGAAAAATTAAAGCTTGGATGGCAATAGGATAAATAAGATTACGAGTGAATGTTTGGAGTCAGAGCTTTATAGCACTCAGAAGAGATATAGCTAACCTAAGATATAAGGTTTGGATGTAAGGGCGTGAAATGACCTTAGCCGTTAAAACGCCCTTAAAAATTAATAATAATAATAATAATAATAATTAATATTATTATTATTTAATTTTATATGTATATATTTTTTTTTCTCTCTTTCCAATGGATACTACAGGGACTGGAGGAGTCCCTCCTGAGCTGTACAGCTTATTGTACATTATCCCTAGCTCCATATTTTGGGGGAGGGCTCGCAACACAAATGTGAACTTGAGCCCCCGTTGTCACGGTGTTCTTCCATCGAAGAAACTCATTTTTGAAGGACCAAATTCAGGGTCGCTGAGATCCGATCCCGCCCCTTCCATTGATGAGTACCGTGTCAATTTCTTTCAATTGAGGCAACCGGTCCCCTTAGGCGTCAGAAAAAGTCCAGAGGCGACGGTGGAGATCGAACTCACGACCGCACATACACACACACACACACACATATATATATATATATATATAGAGGGTGTTCGGCTATTCGTGTTACAAATTTGCCAGTAGATTCTACATACAAAATGAAGCCAAAAAGTTCTAATTAACTTATTAAATTCACTAGTTTTCGTGGTTTGCTTGACCAATTAATATCTTTCAATTAATTAAGGTTTTTAGTTGAGATAAAAAATTCAGTGTCACGAGCGGGATTCGAACCCACGATCTTCGGCTAGATACGCCATAGATGAAGAAATTAATAAAGGAAAGGAGTAAAATGTGGTTGACGGATTGGTAAGGTGAAAAGATAAATAAAATCAAATTAAATCAAAATTTAAAAAACGTTGAAGAAAATTCATTCAAAATTTGCGTTTTTTTTTTTAATTTTTATTATTATTAATCTTTCCACCTTATCAAACTGTCAACCACGGTTTTTTTCTTCACTTCATCAATTTCTTCATCTTTGAAAAAAGTAATTAAAAAAAGCAATTACACCACTGAAAAGGAAATTAAATGGAGTACGTTTCCTGTAATTTGTAGGACTCTAGGTTTGGAAATACAAGTTTAGAATCACCAAAGTAAGTTTTTCAACTTTGAACAAAAAAATTATTATTCTAAATTCTGGCTACTAAAACACTTATTTCACCACGGGGTTTTGTTGATTTTGCTCGGAAAGCCTGGTTTTACAGATATGAATATAGGGAATTAATATTCTGTTCGTTTTATTTTCTTTCCTTTTTTTGCTCTCGCAGGTAATACATATAATTTCTACTTTGTGGGCTTCTAAGTGCGAATTCTGTGTGCCGATGGGGTACCCTTTGTGAGTTGGAATCCTTGCTTTTGTTCTTTGAAGTGTCATTTTTATTATTTTCAAAGTTTATCGCATTTCAATCTTGTAATTTGAAAATCCTGTAAATAATTGTAACTTCTGAAGTTGATATTGTAAATTCTCCTTTTCTTATAATTATATAATTATGCATATTACCATGCCATAATAATACTGTGTTTTTATTTTTAACTCTAAATTTCTTTCATTTTGTAAATAAAGTATGTGTATCTATCACTTGTTTCACAAATGTTTACAAGTTTATTCATCACATTTTGTTGGAAATTTAACGTTGTTTTCAATGGTATGAACGGATTTGTCAAAACCTTTTAGTTGGTATTGAAATTTTAAAAAATCATAAAAAGGGGAATAACTTCGAAACTGTTGAGATTAGGACCATAGTTAATTAGGACGTTTTGTCTCCATTTTGAATGTAAAATCTACTGGCAAAGTTTTTAACACCTTGGCCACACAGTGGCCGAACAACTTGTATATATTTATAATATATTGTTTTCTGTGTTATATTTATAATTTTTATTGTTTTGGATTGCTGTTATTCCAATTAGTTCTAAAAAAAAAATAAATCGAAACACCAATTTTCTTTACTGTTTATAAATAGTTCTGTATATTAACAATTAAAAATACGTGTTGTAGAAATTTGTAGTAAGAAGAATGTTTTTAAACGAGTTTATAACATTGACTGTTCGTTTTCTTTTTTTCTTAAATATCAAATTTTTACGCTTGTTCATTCGACCTGATGGATATTTCTTATTTTTTTCTACGTACAAATTTAAACAGCTTTTATTCTTTTGAGTTAATTATTTGTCAATTAATATTAAACGATATAAAAACCGGAAGGAAAGTGGCGAGGAGGGCATTGAGTAATTAATAGAATTTGTATATTGAGGGTGGAATTGGAGGGGCGGCGATGGTCGCACAGGCGCAACAAACCAAGCACATATGGGCACGGGATAGAAGGAGAGGGGAAGCCGCTCCCTCTCCACGGTTTCGCCGCTTCCCCTCTCCCTCACCCTCTCAATCCCTCTTTCTTCATCGCTCTTCCTCTCTCTCTCTCCTCTTGGTTTATGGCCGTCCTCTGTGAGCGGCCCCGTAAACCATTCCCAGTCAGGCAGAGCTGCAAAGCTGACAGAGTCGAGGCGGTTTCCCAACGCAATTCAACCTTCACCCACTGACGACGATCACGAGGCTCCTGTGACCGCGTGTGACAACCACCACTAAAAACGAGTTTTAATTTTCCGAAGACTCTTTTGCATATTGACAACAACGAAAAGCCAAAGCGAACTTTTTTTTACTTAAAAGAGAAAAAATTTTATTTTTGTATTTATTTTTTATTTTTGGAAAAAGAACAAATTTTTATGTTTTGTCCCGGCCTGAGGAAGGAAGACACTCGCAACCGCTCTAAGGCCTCTTAAGGTAAGTGTCAAAAAAATTTAAAAGAGAAAATAAAAACTTTCACGTTAGGCGTTCGATTTCGCTCGTTAAAAATTGATAAGGCCAGTACAGAGGCGAACGTTGGTAAAGAAAGAATGTATGTCCTTTTTTAATCCGATCCCATGTCTAATAAAATAGAAACGTCTCAATCCAAAGGTATAATGAAAAGGAGGGACCGTCGAGTTTATGTGGTTGCCTCCTCGGGGCTTATTTACAACAGAACGGTCATTATCGTGCGATTACCCGCCGCCTGTTTACATCATCTGACTTACGACCGGCACACACCCACCGAAGAGTTTTTTAAACCGGCGGGCCGCAATTAAAACCGCCGGATTTATAACTTAATATCGGTCAGGATATGTTTATGCTTGGGCCTATGCTAATACGTATTGAGATAACGCTGCCGAATGGTTTATCGGACGGCTAATGTCGACGTTCGAATTGTAAAGGGGCCGGTTCCGATGCGGACGCACGTTTTCTTTATTTTATCACCGGTAGAAAATTAAGTTGTTGAGAATTGTTTGACCGGCTTGGCCACGGGGGTTCAAACGGCCCACGTGTTCCGACCTTTTAAAAAAGAAAGTGAAATCGTGGTAAATCCTGTTGGGGGGAAAAAAGGAAACTGGGGGTTGTATGTGGGTGAAGAGACGTTTAGACTCACCTCGTGGGGGTTGGGAATGTACTTTATGAGTGTTGTGCCGCCTTGAGCCCCCTCAACTATCCAACCCTTACGGTGGTGGTTTGTTACGATTCCCTTTCAACGCCTTCACCCTAGTAACCCTATTCTGTAAACAAAAGAGATAAAAGAGATCAGCGGGAAATCAATAAGAACAATTAAAGAAAACGTATCAAACATAGTTTTTTCTCTCTAACTTACTATAACAAAGAAACATTATCACTATGATCAAATTAAGGCCAATAACAACTAATAAAAAAATAATTTACAAATGTCAATTTTTTTAAATTACCTGTAAACATTTTTAGTGACAGTGTCATTAATAAAAATGCATTTTAAAATGTGAGAGAATTGTATGTAATATTTAGCCTTTCAGTTATTTTGTGGTTTACATCGCTGTTTGCTTACAATGCTACCAAATAATGTGTAGTCCATCATAAAACCATAATATTATTTTGACTAGGAATTTATATTTTTAAAATAAATAAATTGGATTATTTCGTTATTTTTTTGCGTAGAACAAAACCTTAAAACTCTCAAATCTAACATCTCTTGATAAAGCATGTTTCATTGAGTTTGAAGTTTTTTTTATTATAAAACATACGTGCAAAGTTTTATAATTTGTTTTCGTTTATTGCATTTATTTATTATTAAATAGCTAAAATAAACTTATTTAAATTCTGACAAGAAAAGAAACTGTTTCATTTTATATTATATCATTATTTATTTTAAGTAGAAATTTTCAGAAGTGACGCCTAGAAGAATAAATCATGATGAAATGTACAAAGATTAAAACTTCATTTGTTTTCATCGCAAAAACCCTGATTTGAGTTATAACAAACCTGTAAAAAAAATGTTTACAGTTAAAAAAAATCACTAGTTTAAAACATGAAAAATCTTACCTAAACATGGCAGAAGTGATTTGTTCGAAGTATCAGATACAACGCCATTATATATAAATTTGAAACACATTTCCTACCTTTTGACGTCCATGCACAACAATGTTGAGAAAATCTGATAGTAGCCATATTAAAAAGCGATTTAAAGTAAATAAATAAAAAACAAACTCTTTGATGTTTGTTATAAGACAAACAATTATTATTTAAAGGATAATTGCTTCCTTATCTTTAAATTCCAAAAACAATTAATTAGTGATGTAGTTCAACAGTTATTATCACTATTTCGATAAAATTTTATTAACCCACAATAAAAATTTTATGAAAATTATATTCAGAACTAAATTATCTCATTTTTAGTCATAAATTATAACTTTTTTGATACTGTCAAACATTAATAAAAAAACAAATAAAAAACAGTACATTGATCTATTTACATTTACTTAAATATTAGATAAATAAATGTAAGAAATACCCTATTCAAATTCATACGCGCTACTAACAAGGCAAATATTTAAGCTAATAGCAGAAACATTTAATTAAAATTAAATATTGATTAAGGATTATTTGTCAATTAGTATAGTTTTTAATTTTTTGTTTAAGTTGCAACCAACTAAGCAGGCGCCTAAACCAGTACAAACACTGTACAAATTGTATTAGGATTTGTAAGGTTTTAGTAGTTTTAATATTAATAATAAGAATTATTAAAATAATTAAATGACATCAAAAATTTGACAATTGGTTTCTTTTTCATATAGATAAATGTTAAAATACTAATTTACTAAACATTTATTATATATTTAGTTATAAAATTTATTTTATTTAGTCCACAATATATACAATGTATGCAATAGACATATATCTTTGCTAAGACCATCTTGTAAAATTAACCAACAAAAAACCAAAAAATTTTTTAACATAGATTTTACAGTTGTAATATAAATGATCTCGACGTTATTTATGGCTATCAGTTTTTAATATTATAACGTTGTATTAAAAAAATCATTGTGAATGTTGCCAATTTTAAAAAAATAAAAATAAAGAAATTGTCCAGTTTCTTCGTCAAGCTTTTCATCATTACTTTAAAAAATTATTGTTAATTCACATGATTAATAATTATGAACATGACTTACAATACTGAAACTTATGGTTTGAATTATAGTGAATTTCCGTGTTGATAGTGTTCCGTTGTATATCAGTATTGTAACTTCCAACTTTTCTTTCGAAAGCTTGAGGATTTTCTTTTCTTTTAAATTGGTGTTATTTTTTAATTTTTTAATAAACAAGAACTAAAAAAATTATTTTATAAATAATTTTCTTGTTTGAACTCAAGCCTTAATACGAAAATTGCTAATAGGTTTGTTGTTCCAATTATAGAACCTAATTAAAAGTTAGACATGTTTAAGACCAAAATTAAAATACTTTTCCAATTTAAAATTGGTAAAATAGAAAAAACATAAAAGTAAACATAAGCCATTAATTTTTTTAATTATTGATACCTGCCTAATGTAAGAATGAATTGGAAGAATACTCTACAAAACTCATCTTATTAAGTTTCAACTAAACTTGAGTTATATCATTTTCATATCACATAGAAATTGAAAAAAATGTGTCCATAATTCATTGGTTATTTAAATTATAACCGATGATAGGTTGGTTATATAAGTTCAAATCTATTTAAATACTAAAAATCATTATGATTGGCCTAAAGCTATTTTTTTTAAACTAATATTGGCAAAAAGCAGTAATTTTCACAAACACCATTGAATGCTATTTTTATTACTTTTAAGTACAAAAGAAACATAACAGGTTTAATCATTTCTTTTACAGTCCAGCTATTGAAAGTAAAAAACCCTATATTTTTTAAACTTTTTCTTTTTGTTAGTTGTCTCTTTATATAGTTTGGGTGGTTTTTCTAAAAACATTCTATACAATTAATCTTTATTAAATAAAAATATCAGTACTTAAATTATTGTAAAATACATAAGTGTTTAAATAAAGAAAATAAATTTTTTCAATTAAAAATTAATATTAACGAATAAAGTTAACTTTCTTCTGATACCGATATCTTGATCTTATTTTAAAATTTATTTTCGTTTTAAAATATACAGGTTACCGGGTAGTTAATTCTTCTTATACCGAAAGTGGCGCGTTAACCGTATGTAACGGAATCTTGAGTCATTTGGTTTAGATTGCTATTTTTATAATGGAGCTCTACAAGTTAACATTTTGGTTAAATTATAACAAAAAAATCAAAATTACAATAGGGACATGGTTTTATTTCAGACTAACATTTAAAAAAACGATAACATTAACACTTACATGAGAAATTGTAGTTATATTCCATTACATTCCCCATTAGAGAATAGAAATAGACTAAAATAAATCTGTTTTAACAAACAATTTTTAGTAAAAGCATATTATGAACAGTTATAAATAACAAATAGATTGATAGTATCTATTGATAACATTGAGTTTTTTATTCTCAAGGGAATTTAACTTATTTTCTAGTATAAAACTATATGATGTTTCTTATGGTATATGATGTTTCTTACAAATTGACATCTTTCAAATATCGTAAACTATATTATATATAGATAGATAAGTCTTTATTACAAACAATTTATATAAAGCAGTAAACTATTCTGTAAAATTTCCTGTTCTAATATCCAGGGTGAAGAAACAGTAATTTTTCGATCCATACTAATCATCTCGGGCTGCCTTCCTTGCTTGGTTGATCAGTGAGACGCGTTTCGGCATTGCGCCATCTTCAGTGTGACTAAGCTAATTAGTGATTATCTAAAAAATAGGACCGAAGATCAAAATGACCAACGCAGGAATGATCAGTCAAAAGCGCCAAACCATGCACGCCAACTCTCACAACTTTATAAAATAGACCTGACTCGAACCACACGGATATTTTGAAGATTTAGTAATTACAATTTAAAAAAAATCCTTTTCCAAAGAATTAGGAAATAAGGAAACTTCATAAAAAAGGTGTAAACTTCAAATAAACCATTGGGTGTCACGAAGGAGGAGACAGTTTACAACATTTTTTTCCTAATTAATCCCAAATAAAATCTAAAAAGCTATGCCGGGAAATTTACCTTGGAAAATACGAGTTGGATGCCCTAACCAATTGGCCACCGCAGTCTCCCAATGTTTTATTATATATATTTATTAATATAAATAATATTAAAGTCATCTCTTTTATTTGTTTGTTGTAAAAAATACTCTAATTTCTAAGTGGTTAACTTTGACAAATTAAAAACCCAGCCTATTGTGATGAGTAGAATATAAAAGAATTGCGCATAAAATAATTTTTTAACTATTTCGTAATCCAATATGGTAAATAAACGAATAATATTAATTTATTTTATTTTTAGTATGCTGTACATCATACTCTAGACTTTGGTCTCAAATCATCAAGTTAAGTGTAACAATAATTTTCGAACGTTGAAATTAAATTTATACCGAAATGAAATATTACGCCATACCTCCCTATGTACAAAGTATATTATTATTATTAATTCCGTTTTCCCCTAAGTTAGATACATTTAATTTGATAATCATGCACTTCATCTTCTCCTTCACGCACATACATCAGAATGAGTAAGATAAATGCGTAGCGAAAATGAGTTACGAGCTCGATACGACCAACGTTACAGATCCGCAATCATCGCTTTGTTGACTTGCGATCCCAATTAAACAAATCTCGTAGATATATAAAACGGAAGAGGGGTGGGAAGAGAAAGAGAGAAAAAAAAAGAAAAAAATACCCATCCCGCAATATATCATTCTCCCAGATATACCAGATTTACACCTTGTTATCTTACATTAATTTTAGGATTAATCCGAAGGAAAATTCTTTTCGGGATTTAGAAAAATAATTGGCCAATTAATTTAATCGGATGGAGCCAAACAAATGCAGATAATGAATATTTTTTCTGACGGAAGGCATTGGGAGATAATTGAGTTTGTCAGTACTGGCCGACTTCGGAAACGCTGAATCATTTCCTACATACTGTCCGTTACTGCAACAAAAAACCAAATGTTTTTTACGATTTATTATAGAAATCTTATTTACTATAAATTTGTCTGCTGTGTCAAAAGAATTGAACTAAAAATCAGTAGGTGATAAATAAGAAATCAACCCTAGTTGATAAAGGCATGATCCAATTAAAGAAATCATTATGTATTTATTGTGGATTTT